ATGACCTGGAGTGTCTCCTCTCCTATTTCTGGACTTGTTTCTCCTACACAGGGGTTTGGTACCGATGACTTCTAAGGTTCTGTCCTGCACTAATAGTCTCTGATCTCAATTCCCTTTTCTCTCTGAGCCTCAACTCCTTCATCTGTAAAATGATGGGGTTGGCTGGTCTCTTGAGTTTGAGTTCTTTGGTTTTCTCGTGGTCTAATTTTCACCTCCAAAAAGTGAGGTGGGACTGGAAGGCCGTTTAGCATCTCCTCTTTCCCCCAAGTGGCAGGACCACTACACCAGACAACAGCGGGGCTTTGGGGGACTAGGAAAAGGAGATACGGTTTGATGTTTTAACGGAAAAATACAGTTTTGGTCACAGTTCCAAGGAAGCCTGATTATTGTGTGTTCATCCGTCTGAGTGAGGCCTTTAGAGGAAAGGCAGATGGAGAGGGAAGCAATGGGTGTGGGAGTTACAAAGCGGCAGGTCAGGGGGCAAAGTGCCTAGAAATTGGAACCACTGTCAAAGAGAATGTGCTGTTGCCTGCAGAGCTTGGGACTTCCTCTTCCAAGGTCTTCCAAACCTGGAAGACTAGTTTTCAAACAAGTCAGAAGGCATTTCTTAGGCACCGATTATGTGCTAAGTGCTGGGGATACAAAGAAAAACCTCTTGCAACTCACTTCCAACTCAGTTCATTTCCATCCCATAAGCACTGATGTGTGAGCGTGAGTGACCAGGACTAGAGGCCCTACGCACAAGCAGCTTTCACTCTGCAAACCTTCACACTTGCTTTATTATGATTGAGAACCCAGACTGTCCATACAAGGAAGGGGAACCCCATTACCTGGTTAAGTCTACCAGGCAGCTTTGAGGGTAAGGATTCAGAGGCTAATGTGGAAAAGGGAGGAAAAGACTCTAAGTATGGGGGAAGGAATGTGGGAAGGGCTGGCAGGTCCATCAGCCTGGTGAAAGGAATACTGTGGTGGCCTTTAAATGCCGGGCTGAGCACTTCGGAGTTTATCCTAGAAGGAAGAGGGAGTCACTGAATGTATTTGAGTACAGGTGTGACATAGCCAAATCTTGAGAAGAGTACTTTGGCAACTGTGTGAAGGATGGAGTGGACAAAGAAGAAATGAGTGTTGAGGTCACCTTAGTTGAGGTGAGAGTTGATAAGGTAGGGTGGAGGCTGTGTGGGTGAAGAGAAGGTGGGTGGGGTGAGGGAAGGGAAATGTCCCCTTGTTGAGAATGGCTCCTGAGGCCCCTTCTGTCACGTCACTGCTTTTTCTAGCTAACCCTAATTCTGAGCAGATGAAGGTCCTGGGGGGCAGCAGGGGTGAACAAAGGCTGGGAACACTTTCCACACTTCACATCCCCACATTCCCCTCTTCCTCTCCCAGCTCCTGTGAAGCAGAGCAAAATCAATGTCTATCCCTCCAATCTTGGAAAGCCATTATTGTCCCCATTTTACAGATAAGGAAATGCAGGCCCAACAAGGTCAGGTGACTTGCTGAAGATCACATGACACTGGAAAATGTCAAAGCCAGGCACCCAATGCTCTCAAATAGAGACTCCACACCGACTGAGGCCCCTTTTATAGCTGTACAGAGAACGGCATGGGGTGGAGGATCTCTTCCCTGAGAGATCCTGGCCCAGGCCACTGGGGAAGGGGTAGGCTCTCACTTCTTTTTCCTCTGGATAACAATCCAGCCGTCTTCAGCAGCTTCATGCCCAACAGAGGCCAGGCTAGTGGCAGCAGATGGACCAGCCTGGGCACCATAGGGCAGGGCAGGGGTCTCCCTGCTGTCAGTGACCTGGAAGGAAACAAAAGACAGGCTTATGGCAAGGTCCATCAATAGGCTGGCACCCATGTACACTGGTCATGTGACAGAGGACTGCTCCCTTCAAGTGATTCACACGGGGACAAATGACATTGCAAGGAGGAAAAAGCCTACAACACAGAACATGGGAGGCTTTGGAGCTACAGGTGCTATCTCCAGCAGTCCTGAGGATAGAGGGGGAGAGAAACCAATATGGGGAAGTGAGAAGCTTTAAATTTCTGGCTCATGGCTTAAAAACAGCTATGGCAGGCAGTAGGCTCCCAACCAGGCTGCTCTAAATAGACTAGGCTGGAGTACTGCAAATCAAATTTGAAAACAAATTTAAACTCAAAAAGGGAGCGAAACTGCCTGCCCACACAGCTCTGTGAAGATGACTGGAGGAAGAAGAACAATAGAAAACCTTATGTTCACAGAAGAGAAAATCCATGAAGGAACCAGCAATAGGAGCCACGTCCCCAGTCATCAAGAAAGAAAGGCACAAACTCGGGGTCATGAGCAAGAGGGGTAGGCCTGGGGGGGTCCTACCACAAGGAGACCAATCTGACCTCATGCCCACCACTGAATGGAACTGGTGGAATGGAACCCAGGACTGCTGTATCTATCATCCATCCATCCATCCATCCATCCATCCATCCATCCATCCATCCATCCAGTGAGGAGGGAAAGAAAGAAAAGGGGGGAGGGGGAGGGGGGGAGAATAAGGAAGAGAAAGGTAGAGATAGAGCACGGGTAAGTTCTGGATAGGAACAGGACAGCCTGGGGGTGGGAAAAGTAAAATATTTATGAAGACCTTCTCAGGTAAAGAAATCCTTCAAGAAGAAAATATCTGGATGCAGAGCACCAAAGCATTGTGGGAACAGAATGTGGCCTCCCTGCTAAGGAGGAGAAAAGGCCTCCGAGGCTTGGCCCAGGGCAACATCTACCATCAGCTAAACATCTTCAAAACAAAGCAGCAACAGTTTAGTTTTGGTAATCACTTCCAAAGAAAGAGGAAGAAATAATGAGGGAAACTACTATTATGGATTTGATTTTAACCCAAAGGATAAACTGGTTGAAGTAAAAAATGATGGAAACCAAGTGAGCGTTCCATTCTTAAGAGTTTGCTGGGCAGTCCAACAGGCACCCGACTTCCGAGAGAACAGATTTCCAAAGATTGGGGGGGGGGGGGGG